ATTTATGTTCTGTCTGATAAATATTAACTGCTACCAAAAACATACTGCAGAAATTATTCTGAACTACAATTACCTGATGAGTCATTATGAATGTCATTAGGCAAACAATAGGCTGTACGTACGACGGGTTTCACTCAATGTCTGCCCGTTACAGCTAATCTGGTGACATTCAAGTTCCTTTGACTTTCAGACGATTATTTTTATCTATAAAAATGCTTATCTATCTGTTTAAATTAACACCATAATCCCTACAGTGGGTGTGGAACAGACTTCAATTATCACCTTAAGATAGGCTAGTTTTTATTCCAAATAATACTGCTTTTATCCACAATGGCAGCCAAAATCAACACAAAGTTCCTTGATGCTTTAAATATTCGGTCTGTGATGATACATTTAAAATTCACATTTCAGTGTATGCAACAGGTTGTGCTTTAACTCCACTTGGAGCATTTGTAAAATTCACTGTCTGTCTGAACCACTGCTGCCTTGTTCATTACAGTAAACTGGGCTGTTGGTAGCAGAGGCAACGCACATGAACAGACATTAAGATTAATTATTTTTAACAGAGTGTGATTATGAGATGATTATTTGACAGTGATTTCGTTGTGGCAGCTTTACTATGCATGTCATCACATTATTACTGCACACATGGTGCTCGGTATTCCTTTAAGTAATAAAGCCTATTCCCTGTTTTAAGATGGTGTAATCCAGAATTAAACACGTTTCATCAACATAAACAAACCATGTTTTTACCTCATCCTGCTCCAGTAGGATGAGTCGAACAACCACAATGTTGATTGCGTTTCCAATACTGGCATCTCGGAACAGACCTGCCACCTGAAAAAATACATTCATACATTTAGACAATATATATGTTGTTGATATATAAGTAGGGCCCCAAGCAGTGAAGCTGAAACTGCTTGGATTATTATTCTTAACCAAAATAAATCACATTTTTGGATGCCGCGACATGCTCCAAAATGGCTAGACAGTGTCCCCTATAGAGCAGCCACAACGGCGCATTTGAAATTAGATCATGTAGATCATGTTCAGACGGATAACCCATATCCCAAACCCAGGAAAGTAGGCTTTTTGGATTCAGCGGCCATTTTGGGCGATTGCACGCATTGTATTTTAACGAACTCCTCCCAGGGAACTGATTGGATCAACTTCTCATTTGGTCAGTATAATTTTAAGACCATTACGATTAAAAGTAAGGCTATTTTAAAGTTTTTGTCCAAGGGTGTGTACGTGGTGAGGGGCAAAGTTTCCATCTTTCAGCCAAGAAACAGTAAAGTTGCTGTAACTTCAGTGTCCTTTAACCAAACTGCACCAAAATGCACGTCTGATAAGAGTCCTGCCCTGAACACATCGACATACAAATATTCAGTTATGCTGTCCAGCCCTGTACTGGCAACAGCAAAGAAGCCTTATACAGCAATAATGATGATACGCTGGAGCATGACACGGCCACACCACACCCGAATGTGCATGGATGCAAGGGCCTGTCATCGCTGCTTGTAGCTTTAATTAAATCGTTAAAGAATTAACTCCACACTCATGCATACAGCTACTGCTGAAGCCAGTTCCTATTAATATTTAAAGGAGATATTTAAAAAACAATCCCACATTTTTATGCAAATTGTTCCTGCCAGGTCAGAAAAAAAAAAAAAAAAGGTCAGCTACAGTTGGGGTACCCGATCAGTCTTGGGAAACATCTGTTAGTGATCCAAGTCAAACACAGCATTTTAAAAAGGACCAGTTATGAACACGAACTAGTTTTAATCTGAGAAAAAAAGTCTTCTTTTCTTTACTCTTGTCCTTATAATAAC